CTGCTTGTCTCGTGCTGTCTTCCGTGGCGCCCGCTCCCTTCCCCAGGAGGTTTTGTCCCTCCCCCTCCCTAGGGCGCCTCCTCGGCCGCTCCCAAGGCCACCCGAAGCACACCCGCATCCCAGGCACCGCATGCATGCACACAAGACATCCGGGCTCGGTCCCGGGCGGCGGAGCGCAGCCTGGAGACGACGCGGCCACCTTCCGGAACCCCTGGCTCATATACGCCGCGGCGGCAGAAATATGAGGGGAAAAACAGCCCCACAACACGGAAATAGCAAGTGTTCCTCCCTCGCCCCTCCCGCCGTCCCCTCGCGCAGGCCGCCGAGTTCTGAGGAGAGCGACGGCCGGGCTCTTGGCACACGGCGGCACCAGCGCCAGGGAGTGGAAGGCGGAGGGGCTGCTGAGGGTGGAAGTGAAGGCGGTGGAGGGGCCGCGCCTGTCATGTGGCCGCGTGTCACGTGCTTGCGCCCGGAGAAAACAAATGGCACTGGACACCTCCCCCGCGGGAAGGTTACGCGCTCGTGCTCCAGTTTGTTTAGTGATCGCCAGGTTGAGCAGTTCAATGACTAGTGTTAGGCGTTCTATTATGATACGGTTCCACATAAAAACAAACTTGCATCATTCTATCTCCGGATGCATAAATAAAACACACGTACAATTCAGATCTTCAAAGACAAATCTTTAATTAAGCTTACTAACAACTACTGCCTCTATCAAACTGAGCGCAGAGACCCTCCCTTGCACGGCAGCCTAGCACCCCTACCCCCCACCCCCCACCCCAGCGGCGCCGGAATGAATGAGCGCCGAAGCAAGAGCCTCAAATGTGGACAAATGGTTAGGTAATGTGGAAGGCGCAGGCACGCGTCGCGGCGTTGCGGCCGCGCCCGGTGTTGTGTTACCGGCGAAGGTGTGGCTGTGACCAGCGTGCTGCCTGTGCCAACACGACCCTCCCTCCTGCCTCCTCCGGGCCTCACGACCTTCCGCACGACCTGCCCCTCCTCCCCCTTTCTCTCTCTCTCTTTCTCTTTCCTCTCTCTCTCTCTCTCTCTCTCTCTCTCTCTCTCTCTCTCTCTCTCTCTCTCTCTCTCTCTCTCTCTCTCTCTCTCTCTCTCTCTCTCTCTCTCTCTCCCTCAGCGGCAGAACCAGGCGCCTGCCGCAGGCACCGACTGCGGAGCATCAGGTGCCAGGCGGGCCGCCCCCTTGCAGCGGCCCCCGGCAGCTGGCCACTGCGCGCTGCCTAACCACCTGGCACTGATGACTTCGGCCCCTGCTCAGGGCACTGCCACTCTGGCCTGCTCGCCCGATTTTGTGCTGCATCCCGTGCCTGAAACAGATACTGCACCCAATGCTCGTCCCCCCATCGTATATATACACATAGCGGTTTTCTTCACATCTTCTAAACAGAATACACCGCATTTCTCTCTCATTTCTTTCTTTCTTTATTTATTCATTTCTTTTTTTTTTCTTTTTCTTTTTCTTTTTCTTTTTTTCTGTTTCTTTCTCTTTCCACTCACACACTCACACTCACACTCACATTCACATTCTCATACACACACACACGCACACACACACACACACACACACACCTGTTTTGGCACGTAGCAGGCCCTCCTGAGGTACACTCCGCCTCGTGTACTCGCGCGCCCGTCACGCTCCCGCAGTCAACAGACTCATTTTTCTCTCTTCATTACACGCTCCTCCCCCCCCTTTCTTCCCCCTCCTTTTCTATTCGTCTTCATTATCGTGGGAGATAATGATACCTATTCGCTTTTCCACGAAAGACGAAAGGGATGAGAATAACGATGGAGTTTCGGTATAAATAACAAGATGGCGGAGGTACAGAGGACAGCGGACGAAAAACGGGATCGTGTGCCATCAGTTTTCATCGTCGCTCCGCACGGGGAACGTTAAATTCTTCATCTCTAACGAAATCGTCATCTTCATCATTACCAAAATCATAATCTTTATCATTAACAGAATCCTCTTCATCACTAACAAATCGCTATCTTCATAATCATTAGAGTTGTTTTTATCATTAACAAAATCGTCATCTTCACCATTAACAAATGTCATCTTCATCATTAAAAGAATCGCCTTCATCATCAACAAAATCGTCCTCTTTATCATTAACAAAATCGTCATCTTAATCATCAACACCACCTTTATTATTGCCGCAATTGGCCTGACCTTCCTTGCCACCAACAATCTTCCAAATTGCCAATTTTCCCTCGCGAAACTCAACCTCGACAGCCCAAAGGAGAGGGGGGGGGGAGAGGGAGGGAGGGAGGGAGGAATCAGTGAATGAAGGAAAGAAGGAATTGAGAGTGGAAGGCAAGGAATGAGGCAGAGTAGGGAGGGAAGGAGAAGGAGGGAGAGAGAGAGGGAGAGAGAGAGGGAGAGAGAGCGTGAGGGAGGGAGGGAGGGAGGGAGGGAGGGAGGGAGGGAGGGAGGGAGAGAGGGAGAGAGGGAGAGAGGGAGTGAGAAGAGAGTAAGTGAGTGAGTGAGAGAGAGAGAGAGAGAGAGAGAGAGAGAGAGAGAGAGAGAGAGAGAGAGAGAGAGAGAGAGAGAGAGAGAGAGAGAGAGGGGGGGGGGAGCAATGCAACACGCCCTCTCCCTCATCTCACACCCACATGCAACGTTAGCATATTTTTTTACATTCTTGTGTGTGTGGTCTAGGCCGCCTGGGAGCCAGAGAGAAAGAGAAAGAGAAGGAGAAGGAGAAAGAGGAGAGGAGGATAAGAGAAAAAAGAGAAAAATAATTTGTGCAGGGGGAATATATAAAATAATAGGGGAGGGGAGTCGAAGAAAGAGAATAGAAAGATAAAAGAAAAAGAAAGAGAAGGAAAAAAATGGAACGAGCAGCCAAGAGAGGAGAAGTAAGGAGAGAAGAGAAGAGAAGAGAAGAGAAGAGAAGAGAAGAGAAGAGAAGAGAAGAGAAGAGAAGAGAAGAGAAGAGGAGAGGAGAGAAGGGAACAGAAGAGTACAGAACAGAAAAGAAGAGAAGAGAAGAGAACAGAACAGAAAAGAGTAAAGAGAAAAGAGAAAAGAGAAAAGAGAAAAGAGAAGCGAAGAGATGAGAACAGAAAGCGAGATGAGAAACAGGCGACGAGAGGAGAAAAAACGAAAGGAGAGAAAACGAAAGGAGAGAAGCGAACGAGAAAGAGAAAGAGAGAAAAAAAAGAGAGAGATACAGAGAGGGTTAGGAGGTGGAGGTGAGAAGGGGGAGGGGAGGGGAGGGGGGGGATAGCCACGGAGGACATGGTCAATAACACTACAGTTACCACTCCGATTTTCAGCTTACTCGATTTACAAAGAACAGGCGCCTGTACCACGTCAAACATTCCTAGAAACACGCGAAACCATACAGACACAAACACAAAGAGACACACGCACAAACACAAAGAGACACACGCACAAACACAGCTTATCACCACCCACACAAGCTCTTTAATTAAATGAGGCTGCAAGAGAAAATTGGACCAAGAAAAAAAGGAAAAGAAAAAAAAAAATAATAGTAACAAGAAGACAGAGAGGGATGGAGGGGGAGGGATGGAGGGATGGAGGGGATGGAGGGGGAGGGAGGGAGGGAGGGAGGGAAAAGGAAGGGAGGGAGGGAGGGAAAGGGAGGGAGGGAGGGAGGGAGGGAGGGAGGGAGGGAGAGAGAGGGAGAAAGGGAGTGAGAGAGAGAGAGAGAGAGAGAGAGAGAGAGAGAGAGAGAGAGAGAGAGAGAGAGAGAGAGAGAGAGAGAGAGAGAGAGAGAGAGAGAGAGAGAAAGGGAGAGAAAGGGAGAGAAAGAGAGAAAGAGAGAAAGAGAGAAAGAAGAGAAAGAAAGAGAAAGAGAGAAAGAAAGAGAAAGAAGAGAAAGAGAGAAAGAAAGAGAAAGAAAGAGAAAGAAAGAGAAAGAGAGAAAGAGAGAAAGAAAGAGAAAGAAAGAGAAAGAGAGAAAGAAAGAGAAAGAAAGAGAAAGAGAGAAAGAAAGAGAAAGAAACACAGAAAGAGAAAGAGAAAGAGAAAGAAAACAAGAAAGAGAGAGAAAGAAAGAGAGAGAGGGGGGGGGAGAAAGAGAGAGAGAGAGAGAGGGGGGGAGAAAGAGAGAGAGAGAGAGAGGGGGGGAGAAAGAGAGAGAGAGAGAGAGAGAAAAGTAGAAAGAGAAAAACGACCAAACGTGGAGGCGCCCTGGCAAAAGGGTGAGAGCAAGGGTGAGGGCGAGGGTGGTTGACATGAGGCAGCGTCCCACTCATCACCTCGCAGCTCATCATCATGATCCTGGCACCCCCTGGCACCCCCTCCTCCCCCTTCGCCTGGCACCCTCCCCTGGCACCCTGTCCACCTCGCCACCCTCAAGTTGCCTCAACGTGACCATCATGTTCTTAGCCCTTTCCGAAGCCCTGCTCTGTTGTCACTCTCACTCACCCTTCCCCCTCGCCTCGCACCCTAAGTCTCTCCCTCGACCGCACTCTACGAGGAGCAGCCCCCTCACTCTCGCACGATACCGACTCACGACCTTATCTTCCTTAATACATGTACATGGTATTCTTATCGCTCTTGTGTTACACCATAAGCGCTGCGGTTCTACCTGTATGCTATGGGATCATCAAACATCACTAAAGTATTGTGGTGCAGGCAAATCAAGTCACACCACATCGACAATGATTTAAATAATTCACATGATTCACGCCGTATCATATCGCGTCACCACTTCTTTCATCTTGTGTCACGTTCGTCAAACATCTCGAGCACTTTTCCTTATCTCGAGGAGGAACGTACATCACTCCTCGTCGAGATTTAACCGTTCAGAAATCCGTTCTGGGGGGCCAAACACCACTCCTATCCCTTCTTTTCTCTTCCTCTCTATATCTTTCCTTCTCACATTCTTCATTTTCCTTCGTTATTCCACTGGTATCTCCCCCCTTCGCACCGCTTTCCTTCCCTCGCGTAAAACAGGGCCGAGAGCGGTCGCGTGAGAACCACCGCCGCCGCGACGACACAAGACACACACTTGTACACCGACGCCAGAGCCACCGCGCCCGGCACCCTCCAGCACCACCGGGTATTCCGCTACTACTGACTCACTCGCTCACTCACTCACTCCCGCTCGCTCCCTCGCTCGCTCGCATCGCCACCACTGCCACCTACCCCGCCTTTACCCGCTAAAACTGTCCTCCTCACCCCACAGACAGCTCCATACACACACTCTTACACGCATATGCACACACACATGCATATTTGCACTCACATATATACATATATACACCCCCCCCGCTAGCACTGTGATGTCACCTCTGCCCACGGCCTAGCTGTCGAACGGCCCTCATCCCCATCATCGTCAGAAGCAAAGTACTGCCGCAAAACAGGTATGCTTGCCGTGATAAATTCTGGCACCCGACACTTGGCGTAGCGCGCTGGTAGACCCTCCCCTCCTATCCCCTACCCCCACCCCCTCTCCTTACACCCTCTCCCACCCCCTCTACCTCCTCCTCCTTCCTACTCCTCCATACTCCTTTCTCCTTCTTAGTTCCTCTTTCCTCCTTCTTCCTTCCTTTTAACCTAATCCTTTCTTCCTCTTTCCTGCTCCTACTCCTGCTCCTGCTCCTGCTCCTGTTCTTCTTCTTCTTCTTCTTCTTCCTCCTCCTCCTCCTCCTCCTCCTCCTCCTCCTCCTCCTCCTCCTCGGCGGCCTGGCACTTGTTGAGTTTGTCTCACACGCTTTCGTCCCGTCTCGCCCAACATCCTCCATAGACGCGCGCTCTCCCGCGTGCCCAGCGGCACTCTTCACCAACCCGCAATGACCCATACCCAGCGGACCAGTGCCACAACAAGCCCATCGAAGCCCATTCACGCTAAGCCCCAGAAAGCCACGCGGGAGAGTTAGAGAAATCCGCGTTTGAATTAAGAACCGAATCGGCGGCCCTGCAGGAGGATTTCCATAAAGTAGCATTCCGTGCGAGGGGAGCGGCGGGGAGAGGGACACGGCGCCCCGCAGAGACGCAGAGAACGGTACTCTCATCTGGCTGCACGGGCGGCGGCGCGCGGGCGTAGTAGCGCTCATGGCAGTCCAGGTGCCACCTTGCCTCGGTCACATGTCCTATTCCAGCTGCCGTGGTTCATTCACCCTTTTTATTTACAGCTCTTCTCTCTCTCTCTCTCTCTCTCTCTCTCTCTCTCTCTCTCTCTCTCTCTCTCTCTCTCTCTCTCTCTCTCTCTCTCTCTCTCTCTTCTTTTTCCTTAGGTGCCACCATGTCTCCCTCGCCCGCTTCCCCCTCCCCCCTGTAGCTCAAACATTCCTCGTTCTCGACGACCACTGCCAAAACTCCTTTCGTAGCTTCACCGCAGTTTCTCCAAAATACCAGAGACTTCACATTTCGGTGGAAATTGCTTCACTCGTCACCTGGCGGACCAAACGTCAAAACACCGATCAACCGGAACAACACAGCGACCACAAACACCAAACGACCGACTACAAACGACTCCCTTTGTTCCGCCTCCTCCCGCCCGCCTGAAACCCACCACCGAGGGGGCATCCGCGGGCACGAACAACAACGGAATTAGCGAACGGCGAAGAATAATAAACAGGGATTAATAATAAACAGAAAATGAAGAATCCTGCGGTGCCAAGTGGGGGCAGGACGGAACACCATACAAGGAAGGTCTAGCTGACACCCGCGGCCCTTGAGGGTATGACAGAGCAGCCAGGGTGCCCAACGCCTCGCCCTGGGCACCGTCACTCGAGCACTGCACGCGCTCGTAACTCTGCTTAATCTATATACACTACTTACCTCAACACTCTATTACGAGGGAAGAGGTGAGAGCAGCAGGGGTGGGGGGGGGGGGTGAAGAGAGAGCGAGATGAGGGACACTGAGAGGAAGAACGAGAGAGTAAATGAGGAGAGTGGCAAATTAACGAAGTTAGATGAAAATAAAAAAAGGCTCGGACAGGCAGAATAAAGATGCAGACAAGGTCAACGAATGGAGAGAGAGAGAGAGAGAGAGAGAGAGAGAGAGAGAGAGAGAGAGAGAGAGAGAGAGAGAGAGAGAGAGAGAGAGAGAGAGAGAGAGAGAGAGAGAGAGAGAGAGAGAGAGAGAGAGAGAGAGAGAGAGAGAGAGAGAGAGAGAGAGAGAGAGAGAGAGAGAGAGAGAGAGAGAGAGAGAGAGAGAGAGAGAGAGAGAGAGAGAGAGAGAGAGAGAGAGAGAGAGAGAGAGAGAGAGAGAGAGAGAAGGAGAGAGATAGAGAGAGAGAGAGAAGGAGAGAGATAGAGAGAGAGAGAGAGAAGGAGAGAGATAGAGAGAGAGAGAGAGAGAGAGAGAGAGAGAGAGAGAGAGAGAGAGAGAGAGAGAGAGAGAGAGAGAGAGAGAGAGAGAGAGAGAGAGAGAGAGAGAGAGAGAGAGAGAGAGAGAAGGATAGAGAGGGAGAGAGAGACGATGGATAAGAGGGAGAAATCCGGCCAGTATAAAATTACCAGTGAAATTCTGAACCTTCACGTCGGAGGTAAGTTAAGGTAAACATCCTCAACAAGGCGTGAGTCACAAAACCTCACGATCGCCCTCAGTCCACGAGACACGACACAGGCGAGGCTTTTCAAGAAGGAAGAGGGAACGCAAGAAGGCGAAGGGAGGGGGAGGGGAAGGAGGAAAAGGAAAAGGAGGAGGAGGAGGAGGAGGAGGAGGTGGAGGAGAAGGAGAAGGAGGAGGAAGAGGAGGAGGAGGAGGAGGAGGAGGAGGAGGAGGAGGAGGAGGAGGAGGAGGAAGAGGAGGAGAAGGAGGAGGAGAAGGAGGAGGAAAATGATGATAATGATAATGATGATTATGATGATAATGGTTATGATGATAATGATAATGATAATGATAATGATGATAATAGTAATAATGATAACGATAATGATAATGATAATGACGATGAGGTTGATGCTGATAATGGTGATGATAAGTAGGAAGATAATGTTGACGAAGAAGAAAAGGACCACACGGAAGAGCTGAAAGAGCAAAGAAAAAGAAGGATGAGGCTCCACCAGTGCTGAACGCGACGACGGAAGTCCCGCGCTGGCAAAACCCAAACACGGTGTGAATCTTCAGGCGAGGTGTGCGGCCCTTGCCATGAAAATCAAAAAGAAAAAAAGAAAAAAGAAAAAAGGAAAAATCATCTCAGCAGCCCCTCCCCCTTTCCTGCTGTGAACGCCTGTCAAAATAGCACATCCTGCTAATGTAGGACATCCTGCCTGCTCAGCATATCCTGTCAGGTTGACGAAATTTTCTCACGATGAACACCCACGGAGGCGTCTCGCTCACTCGCGCAGGCTGACCTAAGCTGACCGACAGACACTTTCCGCCGGGTGATTTGTAAACACCCAGAAAAGACAGACAGACAGACAAATACGTGTGCCACAATGAAAACGATATGAAGGATGAAGAAGAAAAAGAAGAACGGAAGAAGATGATAAAGAAAATGAAGAAAAGATGAAGAGCAAAAGAAAAAAAAAAGAAGAAAGCGTAGATGAAAAACTGACATCAAAAGCGGACAATGCCAATAAAAACAATAGCACAAAAACCCGGAACAATGCAAGCGCAAGCACATCCTTCCCTACCCTCCCTCCCCCCCACCATAACCCCTATCCTCCCCCCTTCCCCCCCTCCCCCCGCCCAGCGCCCTCACCACAGACACCTCCCGAGGGCCGCTAACAAGGGTGCTTGCGACACAAACGCCCGTCCCCAGAGTGAGGGGAGGAGGAGGTACCCGCGAGAGACTCAGCAATAATAAATGAGTTGGCCGGAGGTGTGTGCAACTCGCCTGGCATGCATGATTCCATGACTGAGGCGCCGATTGCATGACCCCGTTGCAATTCCCGATATCGATCGCGGAGGAAAGTATGGACGCCCATTCAAGGATGAAGCATGATTCTTGGGAGTAAATGGTGTACACATATGGACAGGTCCTTGTGCAGGTGTATATATACGGGATATACTTTATGTCTATGTCTGTTTATGTATGTATGTATGTTTATGTTTATATGTGTATGTGTATGTGTATGTGTGTGAGTGTGTGTGAGTGTGAGTGTGAGTGTGAGTGTGAGTGTGAGTGTGAGTGTGAGTGTGAGTGTGAGTGTGAGTGTGTGTGTGTGTGTGTGTGTGTGTGTGTGTGTGTGTGTGTGTGTGTGTGTGTGTGTGAGTGTGTGTGTGTGTGTGTGTGTGTGTGTGTGTGTGTGTGTGAGTGTGTTAGTGTTTGAGTGTGAGAGTGTGTGAGTGTGAGTGTGAGAGTGTGAGTGTGTGTGTAAACTGTTAAATAAATAAATCTAACAACACCAAAACAAATAAATAAAAAACACAAAACAAGACTACCATCAACGGACATCAATAAAAAAAAATCCGATTCCCGGACATAAATCCACCCCCTCCCCTCCCCCTACCCCTCACCCCCCCCCCACCCCCCGACACCCGACCAGACCAAAACAAAACCACCGGCACGAAAGGACAACGTCAATTTAAAAAAAAAAGCCGCCGATTCCCGACCCGCTTGGAATGACGTCACCGCCGGTCAGGGCAGAGGGACGTCCTGCAAGTCAATCTAAACAGAGAGCGAACAGACGGCGCTGGGTAGGTGGGGGGTGGTGGGTGGGGAAGCGGGGGGGAGACGGGGGTATGACCACAAAGGAGGGGGGGTAGGGGGAGGAGGAGGAGGAGGAGGATAAAGAAATGGCAAAGTGGGAAAGATCAAGAGAGGGAGAAGAAGGGGAGGATGAAGAAAAGGAGGAGGGGGAAAGAGGATAAAGAAAAGTAGGAGGGGAGCAAGGGTAGGATAAAGAAAAGAGGGTAGTGGGGTAAGAACAGAAAGAAAAGACAGAAAGCACGTGGCATGATGCTGCACAGTCTCCCACGTGCTTCCGAAGCCGCGGACGCTCGGACGACTGTTCAAAACCCACCGGATATTCGAAATGAACCCCTACGCCTTCTCTTACGCAAGAAAAAAAAATCAACGAAGCAAAAACAAACAAACAACCAAACAAACAAACGACAGCCTCCCGCCCCCACCACGAAAAACGACCCAACAAAAACAAGAACAACTATGGCAAAATAAGAACGCCCTTTTCC